AATACCAACAAGACTCGGACCCCTAACACCGCTGTGCTGACAGAGCCGTGGGAGCGGGGAGCCTGATCAAATCCTGTTTTTTTCTGGACACAGACTGATTAAAAAGTTACAAAGGAGATGTCTGCATGAAGCGTGATTGGGGTCGGGTGGGCAGGGAGGGACCGTGACCGTGGGTGATGGAGATGAAGCGTCGGATTAGAACCCGAGGCCTGGCCCGGTGCCCTGGGGGGTGAGCGTGCTGGGCAGGTGGGTAGCGTGTGTAGTAATCAGATCTCTTTCCGCTGATGGCCTCACCTGCCACGGGCACAACTGGGTACGACAAGCCCCACAGAAGGGATGGTTCTCACAAGTGTTTGTGCGTAAATGCCACTTGGCCCGCTCAGAGAGAGAGGACATGGGGGCTGGTAGGAGGGGGGCATCCAGAGTGCACGTTGGGCCTCCTCCTCCAGGCCTTCCAGGCATCCCTGTCAGGCTGGTCTCTGGTCTTCTATATGCCTACAGCTGCCCGCCCTCCCAGGCTCCCTAAATGGGGGCCGTGTCTCAGAGGCCACAGGTAAGTGCCTTCTTTCCCCCCACACGGGGCAGGGGGAGTGGGGCGAGGCTTGGGAGGCGGGCTCCAGGCCTGGCCTCACCTCCTTCCAGAAACCGTTCTGCACCCCAAAGGAGACACACAGCCCCTCACCTGCGAGCCCAGTACATCACGGATGCCTGTCCAGCCCCGCACCTGAGGGACAGGTATGCGTGTCAACGTTGTTCTAAGAATGGAGGCTGGTAGGAGGGAAATTTCCACCAGTGGTCCCATCAGACAGTGTCTCCCCAGTCACCCGGGTCCTCCGCTGGGTCCCTGGAGTTTGTGGCCGCATCAGCGTCCCACCCTCACATGCTATTTACCGGGATGTGTTTCTGTTTCATCATGGTGGGCTCAGGTGGCAGGAAGGAACCCTCCTGGTGCCCCAAGCAGGCCTGGACTCGGACTCACTGTTCATTTCAAAGTCCCGGAGGCCTCTGGGCATGAACGGAATCGATCATTCTCCAACAGCCTCAGGAGCCGGTAGGTATGAGATCACACGGGCCACACTGTGAACTGTGCCCAGAGGTGCGGTGTGGAGGGAACCGTCCCTGACCACCGGGCTCCCTGCTCTGGGAGGGAGGCACCCTGGGGAGGTCAGAGGTCGGCGGAGGGCGGAGCCTGCAGGGAGAACCGGGGGTGTCTGTCCTTGGGCCCCCGGAGGTGTTCACAGAATCAGGTGTTTAAGGAACCACAGAGCAGCCGTTTCTGACTGTGCTTCTGTCACAAGCACGGAGGTCACAGGGCATCTTCGCACGTTCCTTCCCTGTTTGTTTTTATTTATTTTTACTTGTTTATTATTCTTAATCCCCACCCGAGGATATTTTCCCATTGATTTCTGGGCGCCCGGAGGTGTTCACAGAATCAGGTATTTAAGGAACCACAGAGCAGCCGTTTCTGGCCGCGTGCTCCCGCCACAAGCACAGAAGTCACAGGGCATCTTTGCATGTTGCTTCCATGTTTGTTTTTATTTATCTTTATTTGTTTATTATTTTTAACCCCCACCCGAGGATATTTTCCCATTGATTTTTATTTTTTAATTGATTTCAGACAGGAAGGGAGAGGGAGAAAGAGAGAGAAACATCAACGGTGAGAGAGAATCATTAATCTATCAGCTGCCTCCTGCACGCCCCCTACTGGGGGTTAAGCCTGCAACCCGGGCATGTGCCCTTGTCCAGAATCGAACTCCGGACCTTTCTGTCTGCAGGCAGATGCTTTATCCACTGAGCCACCCGGCTGGGGCTTCCCATTGATTTTCAAAGAGAGTGGAAGAGAGAGGGAAAGACAGAGAAATATCGATGGCAGAGAAACACATCGATGGGTTACCTCCTGCACCAGCGCCGACGAGGGCCTGGGCCGGGGAGGAGCCTGCAACCGAGGTACGTGCCCTTGACCGGAATCGAACCCAGGACCCTTCAGTCCGCAGGCCGACGCTCTATCCACGGAACCACACCGGCCGGGGCTGCTTCCATGTTTTTAAATTGAAGGCTGCGGTTTGCTGGCATCTTCAGAGCCATTCCAACCTGATTACAGCCGTCCCAGCAGCTGGCACCCGGCAGCCTGCTGCCTGTTCCTGCGGAAAGATGGTTCATGGGCCACACCTGCTGGTCCGGATGCTCCCTCCCCCCATGCCGCGTGCTGCTGGGCAGCACCCCACTCCCCCCGAGTCTGGCCCAGCCCCTGTGTATTCCCCGCAGAGGAGGTGAAATAGCTGGGAGAGCCCCGGCTTTGCAATGGGGGACACCTGGCTTCAAGCCTGCCTGGACTGCTCACTGGTGTGTCTTAGATGAGTAATTGCCCTCCATGGGCCTCCGTCTCCTGCAGAAACTGGAGCGAAGTCCCCTCTGTCCTCCTCCCGGGCTGTGGCGAGGATGACAGCCCCGTGGGTCACAGTGCACAGCAGGCACTTGGTAAGTGGCCGCTGGTCTCCTGGTGGCCAGTGCGAGGGAGGCTGTGGGTGGCTGATGGACTCGGACGTGCGTCCCCAGGCACTTTGACCTGCCTTGGCACCCCCCCGCCCCCCCCTCCCCCACAGGCTGTGGGCAGGCTTGCGTGGGGCTGCCCTAAGGGCATGGACTACAGTGCACTCTGCCTGGTCCCCTCGGCCCCCTTCCCAGGAGCCCTGTCCTGGCTTCTGCGGGCCAAGCTGTCCAGGCTAGAGGGACAGTGTCCCCCTTTCTCCTGGGCCTCTGCCCTGTTCCCGGCGCGGCCTCTGGGAATGCCACAGCGGCTCTGCTCAGGGAGGGCAGCCGACCTCAGAACGTCCCAGGGACCCCCAAAGGACTCAGGTCACCCCACGGGCAGCCCTGGAGAGGAGCACTAACCCGCTTCCCTTGTTTTATTGCCTATTTTAGATTTAAGGCCTGAAAGTTAATGCCCGTGAGTTTCCGAGGCGATAAAGAGGACGGTCGGCGGTCAAGGTGCCTGGTCTGGCAGAACGGGGCCCGGGAGAGCCACCGCTGCTCAGGGCGGTGGGATGGGGTGTGGGCAGCGCTGCCACGGTGGCATCAAATCATTAAATCATAAAACTGAACGCAGGGCCTGGGGCGTCGAGGCCGTTATGTGTAACTGCCGTGGCAGGCAGCATACCCGCCTCCACACTGGGCAGAACCAGGCCCTGGGGACCCTGATGCAGTGGTAGTGGCCCCAATACCAATCCACCTGCTGCTCAGGGTTCTGGGCTCAGGGTCCTCGGGGGATCAAGCAACTTAGCAGCTTCTGCCTCCCCAACCTGGCTGGGCAGGGGATCGAGCCG